GTTGTATGTGCCAATCACCCCTCAAATGAATTCTTCAAGCAATTCCCAAATTGTCGAACATATGACAATGCTGATGAGTTTGTTAAGCTCACACAGCAGGCGCTTGCTGAAGAGCCTGCCCAGCTGACTGATGCACAGAGGCATGAGCTTTCATGGGAAACTGCCACGGAACGATTTCTAAGGGTTGCTGAGCTAGACCAGGCTTTTACCAGGAAGCTATCAAAAAATCCTTCAAAAAGCTTTATGTCTACCTCATTAGGTGCTTGGAGTACAATGGAGGATGCATCAGCATATGTGCATCATGTGGCTTCTGGTTTTGAAACAACACGGAAGATATTCGGTGCAATCCCGAAGAGTTTGCAACCAGATGAGGAACAATGTAAAGAGCTTGGGTTTGCCATGCCTGCAGGTAAACGAAATTGAGAATTGGGTGGGAATCGAGGGATAATTTATACAAAATACACGAGTCGAATTATGTTCATGTTCATTGTTGCGTATAACGTCGTGTTTAATTTGTCATTGTTAGTCTTTCTGGACAAGAGGGAGGGAGAATTTGCATTTGTAATTGTAACTGCAATGTACATATACATTGTTGTGGATGCGTAATTACAACTGCAATGTACGTATACATTGTTGTGGATACTATTTACGTTTAATGCATGTGGTTACTTGGTATTTTTCATCACGCTAGACTGTTTATGCAGCAACAATATTTGGACCGGTGCTCTAACTGCGTCCTATAGTCTGTATTGCTCGCTCTATCCTGCTTTTCCAAGGACGAGGTAAAAAGAAAATGTAGTTACAGCCAAATACAAAACTAAAGCGGACAAAAGTCGCATAAACAACCATAAACCCCGCATCACTCAAACTAAGCGTGATCTCAAATAAACCCTAGCATACTTATGACAACCCATTTGGGGCATAGATGTCAATGTAACGTGGGCTTACATTTGGGTAATCTAGTTCCTGCAACTCCAACTTTTAGGGCGACTGAATCAAACACAAAAATATAAACTTTCTCGTGACTCTCTACGTAAAGCTCTTCCTCCTTCCTCAAAATCCTAGATCTATAAACCCCACATCCACTGGCCTTTTCAACTACTAGGAGCGGAAATTACACCGATTATTTTCAAGGCCGAAATAAGTCATGCAACTACGCAAAATTTAAGTGCAAGTGGTCCTCACAACAGTAGTAGTGGAGAGAAGTGTTCTCCTTGCACTGCCGCGGGAGTTCGAACTCCGTCGGGGCATTGTTACAAAATGTGGCCCATGTACCTTTCCGGAGGCCGATCCAACGGTGTCGTTGCGTGGCGTTTTGATGTAGGGGTTTTAATTCCCACCGACCCAACACTGGAGCTGTGCCGTTCAACTGTCAACACAGCAAAGCTACGGAGCAATCTCTCATCTCTGTAAGCTCGCGGATCATGAGGAAGAAGAAGAAGACGAAATCCGAAGGTAGAACCGAACCCTCTCAATTGTATTTGTCTTAGTGTAGTTGTTACTCTTTCTGTTTGGTTGCTGAGAAAGTGGTGGCCAACGGTTTCTAATTGATCGGGAAGAGAAAATTTATTACTCTCTCCCATATTGCTTTGTTTGGTTTTTAAATTTTTAATGTTTCATGAAACTTAGTAGTGCTCCTAGAAAAAAGTTGTGTAGAAAGTTAACAGATACTACTTTCTAGTTTTGGTGTGTATTGTTAGAACATATTTGCATATATGGAATTGTTATGGAATTGAATTGATTTTTCATTCTGTTTGATTGCATGATTGTGTGTGTGTGTGTGTGTGTGTGTGTATACATATATATATATATATATATATATATATATTAGTCCAATTGGAGGCAAGAGGTATTTGAATTTAATCCGGATTCCAGATTCCGATCTTTATTTGGTGTTGTTCAACTCATTTTTATTTCATGGGACAAGAAAATCTAGTGTATGTTGTGGCAATTCGTAGCAATTCAGCTTTTATGAAGTGATTATTGCTTTTTTGGGTTTTGGAATTCAGCTGTTAAGACTAATGGAAATTTTTATTAAGAACTTCATGAATGTTAAGGGTTTCGGGTTTTGTTTCTCACTTGGTTGGCTACTAGCTATCTTGAATGCAGAATTTGGAAATTGTTAATTCAAGTGTGCGTGTGTGTGTGTGTAAGAATTTAACAAGTGGGCGTATAAGAAATCAAATGTGTTTTGACATTGATGGATTCTACTGTTTTTATGTACCCCAGTTAAGCTACTCATATCTTATTTTCTACTGGGCTCAAGGTGTTGCCTATTGATTCCTTTCGTGGTTGTTAACCAGTTTAAGACCAGAAATGTGCATTGTTTTCTTTATATACTTATTTGGTATGCAACACATAAGTTTTCGGATTTCTAAACTCAAATATCATAAGGGCCAAAATGTGAATGTTTCAAAGCTTTGGTCATTTGTTTTTGGTAGTACTTTTGCCACTATCTTGCATTCATCACCCCTTTTGAATGTTTGAATTTTCTTGTGAATGGTGCGCTGTTTAGTTTGTCATTTCCAGTTTAAGGTCAGAAATGTGCATTATTTTCTTCATATGCTTATTTGGTATGCAACACATAAGTTTGCGGATTTCTAAAGTCAAATATCATAAGGGCTGAAATGTGAATGCTCCAAAGCTTTGGTTATTCGTTTTTGGTAGCACTTTCGCCTCTATCTTGCATTCATCCCCCTTTGAATGTTTGAAATTTTTTTGTTATTCGTTTTTGGTAACACTTCCGCCTCTATCTTGCATTCATCCCCCTTTTGAATGTTTGAATTTTCTTGTGAATGGTGCGCTGTTTGGCTTGTCATTTCCAGTTGTTCTACTATATTCTTACGGAAAAATTAATTCTCTCTATATTCAGTTAAGTTTTGGCCCCTCGTCCAAACACACTGAGAAGATGGGAACACGTGGACTCGGAGGCATCTTTTGTGTTTATCGAATTGCCATTGCAATGCCTCGTTGTTATCGAAATTTAAGTTTAAAAGGAACCTTAAGCGGAGTGGAAATAGAAGGGAGTTTATTCAGAGCGCAGGAGCGGAAACATCAATGGAAGATAAGAATTTGGAAAAGCCAATTCCTGAAGGGTGGGAGTTGAAGGATGAAGGCTCCAAAACCTCGGTAATTAAACACCTGATTCCCAGGCTCTCATTTATGTCTACTGATTTTATTCGGTTCTAGATCTGAATTTTTAACCAATCTTATGCTCTACACATGCATGAGTTCCATTACTGCTGTAATATGTTTCAGTTTTGGTAGTAGATTGACAGCTGATGTAATTCTCCTTTTGTATGAACTCCTAGTAGTTGAAATTTAATTTAATTTTCTATTAAACCGAAAATGCAATTGGTTTTTTTACTTAACAAAAATCTCATTTATTTCTCTAATCTCAATCTTCTTGTGATTTAGCATAGAATTTTCATCTGCATAAGATTAGTAAATTGGGAAGTGAATTCTGTATTTGGTGTTAGATCAACTTAGCAAATTTGGTTTAAATCTTACTGCACAATACTTTATTTTTTAGTTAAAACATACATGTTGGATTGCTTCTTGAATGTTTGATGGCGCTGTATTTGGTGGTTTCTTCTTTGATAGAAGTCTTGCCTCTGTGCACTAATTTCACTCTTCAGAGTAGCGTTTTGTGGAGTTTCAAGAAACGTACCCTTAGTCATATGATGCTAGGGTTCTAAGCCATCAATTTTTCACAGTTTGAACAGAAGCTTTCTGTTACTGTTTTCATATAAATCTCCAAGATCTTTAATCCATGTTAAAGGAGTCCTTAGTCAAGCATTTTCCATAAGTGAGCATAATTGTTTTGATATTTCTTTCTTTGTCATCTTGTGTGCTTGTGCTTGCGAATAGATGAACATTTATGTAGCTTGCAGGCCCGTTTCTTAACTTTGATGATACAAATAAATATTTTTGTCAAGTTATTTGCGCTATCTTTACCGGTTTATGTAATCAATAATTGATTTGGCATATTTAGCCTGATCAGTTCTTTGATTGTGGCATGCTTTTCTCCATCATGAAATGGCAGTAGACAACTTTCCACTTTCTTGGCTTAAAATATAAAATTACCTTACTTAGAATGGCATGCTATTTTTCTGAAAGCAAAATTTATGAGACTTTAAATGTTTGTGTTCCCCACGATGTTTCAACTGGTTTCAGAACTGAGTGATTGCTTGTTTTAATGTTTCGATGTTATAGCACTACTTGTGTCCTGCAACTGGTCAGCATTTTTCAACATATGATGATCTTATGCGATATGTGAACTATGCGAAGGAGAACAAGCTTTCAATATATGCACCGGTGAGTTTTATCGTTGTTGCTTTGCTTCTATAAACATTTAGTCTTCTTCGTTCATATTTTCACGTCTCATACATTGTAATGATCGCTACCTTGAGAATCTTCACATTACTGTTCATAATACATCTGGGAGACTTGATGGACTTGGCAATGGATGAGTTAACGGGACATATTCAAGATGATATTCCTTGGTTTATACTTTTTGCAGACAATATAGTGTTGATAGATGAAACTCAGGAAGGGGTAAATGCGAAGCTTAACCTTTGGAGAGAAGTGTTGGAATCTAAAGGTCTTCGCCTAAGCCGATCAAAGACAAAATATATGGAGTGCAAGTTCAGTGCAAATGGAGGCCAAAATGAGTTAGGGGTGAGGATCAGAGATCAGGAAGTACCAAAGAGCGACTGTTTTCGCTACCTAGGATCTATCTTGCAAAAGAACGGAGAATTAGATCGAGACCTCAACCATAGAATACAAGCTGGATGGATGAAGTGGAAGAGTGCATCCGGCGTATGTGTAACCGCCGTATGCCACTGAAGCTCAAGGGAAAATTTTATAGGACGGCAATAAGGCAGGCGATGCTGTATGGCACAGAATGTTGGGCGGTGAAGCATCAACACGTACATAAAATGGGTGTAGCGGAGATGCGGATGCTTCGTTGGATGTGTGGGCATACTAGAAATGATAAGATTAGGAATGAGGATATCCAAGGTAAAATATGAGTAGCCGAAATTGAAAGAAAGATGAGAGAAAATCGGTTACGGTGGTTTGGACTGTGCAAAGAAGGCCTATTGACGCTCCGGTTAGAAGATGCAGCTATGGGATAGAGGTCCAGGGCCGAAGAGGTAGAGGAAGACCTGGGAAAACTTTGGAAGAGACTGTAAGAAAAGACTTAGAGTACTTGAATCTAACGGAGGACATGACACAGAACTAACTGAGCGCAATGGCGTTCTAGGATTCATATAGCCGACCCCACTTAGTAGGAAAAGGCTTTGTTGTTGTTGTTGTTTGTTGTTGTTGTACTTATGGGACCCTCTAATTGTACTACATGAAATTATGTAGAAGCCCTATCAGACATGCTATACTGTCAGACGTTGTCTTACTCATATATCCTCTTGTAGGATTGTAAGTTCAACAAACTGAAGAGGAAACGCAGGAAGAACAAACCTATATCTTTAACCAGGAAAACTCTGGCGGTCAAAGCTCAAGGCCGCTGCCTGTGAATCTGGGTAAATTTCTGAACTACAATGTGTTTGACACCTCCTTTTCTTTCTCTGTAGTAAGTTATAAGAAATAGTTTGTTTTTAATAGGATTGAACTGCAAGGACCCTTTGATTTGTTCCGAAGCTTTGCACGTATCATATCATCAAAGTTGTCTTTCTCTTGCGCTCAAACTTGAAGATATATATTAGTTAAAGATCATGTGATAACATTAAAAAAATGCTAGCTTTCGCTTGTACATTACGCATTATATTGGTGTCTTTTAATTTCTACAGAAAAGAAAATGTTTTATCTGGAATGTATTGCCGCTGGACCGCTGGTTCGCTTAGTAGTGTTTTGTGTTACCTTCTCATGATTTATTAATTGCACCATCTTCTTCAGGTAAAGAAAGAGAGGAAACCGCCAACCCTATGGAAAGCAATGATACTGGGAAGGACACTGAAGCTGGTGAGGCTGGGAAGAAGAGCATTCAAGCTGGTGACCTTGAAGCATCAGAAGCTATGAAAGAATAAGGCTCCGAGGTTATCCATTTGTCTCTGCAGGGTGCGGAGTATTCACCTTTCTGTTGATTGTCGGATTGCTCTTTTCTCCGGTTTCTTCGGAATAATGCATTTCCAGTTTGGTTAATTCCTGAATTTACTTTGGTATTTTAATTTTAGTCTTGTATGCATTATGGCATGAGAGGCCAACGATTCATTATAAAAACGAATAGAAGGGACAGATTGTTGTTTCAATCTGATTCGATCCAAGGTGTTTTGGGATTAACTTTCAAACAAGTTATTTGTTAAGATTGTTTGACAACTTATTTGTTAAGAATTTTGTTTTGTGTTGAGCAAGAATGTTGGATTGAAAACGAAAGATAAAATTCGAACGCCATCAAACAAAGAAGCTACAAAAACAATCGAAATCAAACTACATAAACTTGACTGATTATTTCGGTCCATCAAACAAGTTGAGGCACATATAAATATGTAGGTTTACACACTCAAACACACCAAATTAGAAACCTCCAACATGATTGAAGCTCCTCCATCCTCATCCGATATAGCTCTACTCCTCCCCGTAAGACGATTGTTTCCATCCGCCATAGCTCTCCTCGGTCTCTCCATATCCTCCAGAAGGAATGTTGTCGCTTCTCTGCAACAATGAATACAGTCAAGTTCCAGTGTCTGAAAATACTGAACACGAATGCAGAAACAAAACAACCAGACGAAATTTAGCACACTGAGCAGCGAACTTTTGGGAAGTAATACCTCAGGCTCGGGAGTGAATGTGAGTCCGATTTTGATCTCTCCGCAAAATTCTTTGTCCTTGTTGACAACATTGTATGCAGCTGGAGGAAGGCTTCCTTCAGTGAACACTGGCTCTAAACAAATGCTGCATATAGGCCACACATAAGTCAATCAGACCAAGGCAGCACCAGACAGAACAGGGTGCAGTTTTCTTTCGAGTGACCGCATACTAAAGAATCATAATGAAACACTCACGTTGCTTCTCCCACAAAATCATCTGCACTGAAGTTATCCTTCTCCATGATTTTCAAATTAAGTTCGGAAACATCATCTGAGACGGTGAATAGAAAGGTTTCATTCCATTCTGGTGTAGATCCTTGCCCTGCAGCATGCACAAGTTTTAAGCAACACAATTTTTATTGCAGCAAATGCGCCGGAATGATGAAGATGGCTAGAACTTTACCTGAGACCACATTGCTGTTCTTCTCTTGGGTTTTTACAGTTAAGATGACATAAGGATCCATGTCAGCTGCTCAAAAAGTATTCAACCCCATTAGTATACACATAATTAGCATATTCATAAATTCAATGCAGACAGATTTTAGAAGGCAACATCAGGTTCAGATCAAATTATGAAACAATCTACAAAAATGTCGTTTCAACTTAACCGGAATTCAACCGGATATATGTCCTAATGATATGGAAATTAGCACTCAAGGATCATAAACTCATAAGGAAATGTTGATCGGGTCTTTTGCTATGCTAAGAGTGGATCAATTTTAAGTAAATCCAAATAAACATGTCAAAACACAAAAGTAATACTGATGAGAAAAACTAGCAAAAAGTTTACGATCCCTTCCTTACTATCGCTTGTATCAAAAAGTTTATTTTCTACTTCACTTTGCATTAGTATGGATCCATGAAAAGGGATCAAGAACTTTCATGGGATTCATTATTTTGGGTTACTGCATCAAAGACTCAACTAACTAGCAAAACTAGCAAAGAGCAGAGATCCACAGATCGGTCAGAAAGCAACCCAGAAATGGTTTTATACAATTATATATAGAAAAATGATCAGCGTAAACTAATGTTGAAGATCTAAGGTTCATGAATAAATATTACACATACAGAGACAGAGTGGGGATAGAAAATAATTACCCATAAAATCATTGTTGTCGAGACCCTTGGCTTCGACAAGAAGAACTTCAAGCGTTCCGAGAGGCATGTTTGGATCGGATGAAGATTGAAATCAACAGAAAGAGACAAGACCGAGTTGTTTGCAAGTTTGGTTTTTGCAGTTTTATAAGCTGCAATTGCTTTAGGAAGAGCAACTCATTGAGTCATTGGCTTGTCAGCTATTTAAAGAGCTTTCAGGAGTTACTAGTTACCATCTTTTACCAGTTTACCAATTTACCAATCCTGTCTGAATCTGAATAGGAGCCTTTGTTCACTTGGATCGGTTTCTACAAAATATGGCTTCCTGTTTTCAATTCTTAAGTAACCTCAACTGAAATTTATTTCTTTGTGTTTAGTTATTACACTTGTTCACTGAAAATTTTAGAATGAATTGACGATAGCATGAACCTGGTGAATGAACGTTTGGATGTCACAAGACAACTAATTTTGTTTCGAAAAAGCTTCGTGTTCAAATTCTATCAACAAAAGGTTGATATCTATTTGTTGTGTACAATTTAAAATCTTGTAATGGGACTATTCAAGCTAACTGAGAAGATTTGACTCAAAAATGTTATCTTTGAATAATTTTAGACTTATAGCTTAAGTAGTTAGAGCATTTACTGTTACACTCGTGATAAGAATTTCAACTATCGTCTTGACAATTTTTTTTTTAATTAAAAGATTTAGAATAGCTTAAGCCTTAAGGGATTGGTTGCCAGTGGACCTAATACATGAATGATTTGGTGTATGATGCAGAGAATTGTGTTAAGAGTAAACAAAAATGTCAAAAGCACATGCCCGTGAAGGTCATACCTTGAAAATCTTTGTAGTGCCAAACATAAAATACCTCATTGGATGCTCTTACAAGAGACCTTCAAGTATGCTCTGTTTTTTTCACCCCTTTTTTTTTAAGTACTTTACACTAAGGCCTACTTTAATCCTTGAAATAAAACTCAAATTTTAGATTCTAAACTTACCCGAACTTGCTCCAACCTTTGGGGCAAATATGAGTTAAAACTCAAAACTCAATTATGGGCCAAATTTAGCCCAGGATTCCTCCTGAGTTAGTGGGGCTGGTCCATCATATATGTATATTATTTTTAGTTTTATATTTATAAATTAATTGATCCAACAGTTAAGATCTAATTAGATGAAATAAAACAGTAAAAAAATATCTAACGGTCCAAATTTAAATCCAACAACTAAAGTAATTAAAATAATTCTTTTATGTGTTTCATATTCTTTTACAGTGTTTCATGAGTTTCATGATGTCTGTTAGTGATTTTTCAATATTTGTCGGAATCTAAATATTTTTAGGTTAAAATGTTCATAAAATTAAATTAGGATAGTCTACCTAATTTTTTTTTTTCTTTTAAAAAAGCTATTTTAAGAAAAAAATTAGCCTAAATTCATTCTTTAATGATCTGGGCTAAAATTTTAACTCATAAGGGTTTGAGCAAAAAGTTATTTCTAGGTTAAAACCTAAATTTTTTGGGCTAAAAATTTTAGGTTTTAGCCAAGGTTTGGAGATGGTCTAAGGGGAGTGAGAGTTCGACTAAGCCACAGTGAACAACCTAATTTAGTATCGAATTCATTATCTACAAATTTTGAACTTAAAGCCTTTCACTTGCAACGCACTGACAATAAAAACATGGAATACAATAATACAACTTCATAGATGCACATCTCACACTTTAATTATTCGATAATATCATACATCGTAACATAGTAAAATTTTCGGTCCACATGTAGAAAGGAACCTCGAACAAGATTAAAGCACTTTATTCTTTTATTGTCCAATAAGACCAGGCATCTAAATGATGATCAATCATACATTACAGTACTGTCAATTATACTAATAAACTCATCCTCTGTATGCGGAGGATTCTTTCCATCCACCAGAGCTGTCCTCAGATTTAGATGATTCTTTCCATCCACCACCACCGCCACCATAGTCACCACCACGATCGCCATAACTACTACCACCACCACCGAGGCCACCGCCGCCACCATTACCACCACCATGATCACCATAGCCACCGCCACCTCCACCATAGCCACCTCCGCCTCCACCATAGCCACCGTCACTTCCACCATAATCACCGCCGCCACCACCACCAACACCATACCTTTCCTCACCTTTATGTGATCCTTTCCTCCCACCACCACCACTATTGCCATAGCCGCCACCACCACCCCCACCATAGCCGCCGCCACTTCCACGGTAGTCACTGCCGCCACCACCACCACCACCATACCTTTCCTCACCTTTATGTGATCCTTTCCTCTCACCACCATAGCCCTCCGAGTCACCATAGTCTCCAGAACTGTCGCCATGGCCACTTCTCTGCAATAACAACAAAGAAAATATGCAGTGGGTCATGGGATAGTAGCAGTGCCTTTCCACATCAAAGATAAAAGTTGTGACAAAATTAAAAGAAAATGATGAACAAAAATGACTTAAAGTAGAAAAAAGGGCATCCATCTTTTCTTATAAATGTGAGATGCTGATCCAATCAAGTCCCAATTAAATCAAGACTTACTTTTAGTCGTATCACAAAATTAATAAGTTACAAGTGTTTCAACAACTTTTGATTGCTGCGTAAAATTACCTCAGGAGTAAAAGTGAGTCCAACTTTAATCTCTCCACTATATTCCTTGTCCTGATTGACAACATTGTATGGAGTTGGTGGAAGGCTTCCTTCAGCGAACAACGGCTCTAAAGCAACCCTACATTAATTAGGCGTAGGCCAATGGTTAGCTAATTAAACATTTAAAGTAACACACATGTGTCACATTATACTGTGCTAAGTTATTTCTACAAGTACATTTTATTTTTACAAGGATAATTGTCGAGCACTAGTATTAGCTTGATCAGACTAACGCTTGACAGACAAAAACTTAGAAGTGCTTTTGAATCATAATTAAGGGACGAAAAGGAGAAGTACTCACGTTGCTTCTCCAATAAAATCATCAGAGCTAAAGGTATCTTTGTCCATTATTTTCAAGCGAAGTTCATCAACATCGTCGGAGACTGTAAAGGAAAAAGTTTCGTTCCATTCTGGTTCAGATCCTTGCCCTGCAGCATGCATGCATGTACAGATTTGTTTTTGTTGTACAATCAATTGATAACTGTATTCTGCACACCAATGTAACCCTAGACGGTGAAAGAGATATATGGAAATTACCTGAGACGACGGTGCTTTTCTTGTCTTGGGTCCTTACAGTTAAAATAACATAGGGATCCATGTTACCTGCTCATAGAAAACATTCAACCCCATCATCCATACAGGCATACATATAGTTAGCAACTTAATTAGCATTCAGAAACTATATGTGGAGACAAATCTAAAAGAAAAAATCATAATAATCTCAATGATTACAAATAAGCAGGAGATTTGTGGCTGACCCAGGGATGGATTCGGTAGTCACGTAATGAGAGATATATGAAAAGTAGGTTATATTGACGCGTATATGTAAGAATCTCCACGTACAAACACCTCCATAATATAATTATGTTAGCAGATCATCTGATTTGTTACTGACGGCAATTGTAGATTGATTACAGGATAATTAAATCCAAATACCCGAATATCAAACTGATATTAAAACAATTTGATCACATAAATACAGAAAAACAGGAACATGGGAAAATAGAGAGAATTTATATATCATCATTTAAAATTTACTACGGCTCGATGTGAAGAGATTATTTTTGGGATACTGAATCTATAATCCAACCTTCTACATTCGAAGACATTTATATATATATATATATATATATATATATATATATATATATATATATATACGTACATGTACATGTATTCGATACACAGACATGACACATGAAATTAATTAAAACATGTTCATCCGGCCTGGAAAAATCTGTAACAGCTAGCTAGCATTAGGTATATGGACAGCCAAAAATTTATGAATTCAGATTTGAGATCCACAGAAGATGGAGCAGAAATCAACAATGCAAGTGCAACCCAGAAATCATCTCTCTTATGCATATATATTTGTTTTCTACAAATAATATTGAAAATAAAAAAGAATTAATCAAAATTTACCGAGAAAATCATTGTTGTCGAGGCCTTTGGCACTGACAAGAAGAACTTCAAGCGTTCCGTGAGGCATCTTTCCGATGAGATTCCGATGAGATGAAATTATCAACACACCCAAAACAACACAACACAATACAACAGACAATCAATTCATTTATATATTAAGAGGGTGAAAGTCTACGATGTTGTTACATTTCTTACCAAGCCCGGCTAATTAGGGGTTGACAGGTTCATGAGATACTTCTGTTCCCATAAATAAAACTACATGTCGTTTTCATCTCTCCGTCCCTCCACAACAATCATATGGTGACAACCATGCGTATATGTTTCTAACCTATTCTGGCTGGTGACGTTTTTAACATATGCATGTATTTGGACTCGGAATTAAAAGACAAATATCTGCTAATAAGAAAAAACAATTAATTGATATAAATTGTTTCCAAATGCCAGATAATTTGTTGCATTTGATAAATTGGTGGCTTAGGATTTCCATGATTTGCTGAGTAACTCTAACTCTGACATCACTCCTAGGAGTGGTTAATTAATTTGTGAAAAGTGCTTTTAAATCTTTAGTTTTAATCTTGTTTTTCTAATACTCTTAACTAGCTGAGCTACAAATCCCTAGTAATTTGTAACTTAATTTTAATTTGAAGTGAATACCTAGTGGTCTGGAACGGATTCAGAGTCGTCAGAGTCCTCAAGGCGAAACCTAACGTCTATTCCATTACGGTGGGGGATAAATCAGTGGCTCATCGAACACTTGAAGGTAACCCCTTGGTTTGTCAAGGGTTACACATTCTCGGTCAACCCTTGGCCGCTTTACCACTCACTAGATGACATAAAAGCCGACCGGGCAATCTATTAGGTTCAAGCCCACAGGATTCCTCACAACCTTTGCACCAAAAAGAATGCCCATTGCCTTGGGGAGAAACTCGGGGCTGTATTGGAAGTGGAGGACCTAGTGGGTGAGGGTTTTTGTGGATTCCTGCACATGCACAGTGATTTCAACGCCATTAAGCCTTTGCACACTCGTGTTCTCTTATTGTGCCCCACTTCGGGTACCCAAGTCATTAGGCTTAAATACGAAGGTCTCTTGTAGCTCTACTTCTTTTGTGGCCAATTGGGCAATTCTAGGGGCTGCCCATGGAAAGCGTTGGTGGGTTGGTCTGTTGATAGCCAGTTCTCTGCTTAGCTACGTGTCTCCCATACCTCACTGGCCACAACTTTCCTTTTCCCCCATTCTTCCCCCTTCTTCCCGATGTCCAGCTGCAACGAGTGCCAACGAACGCCACTGGTGACGTAAATGGAACTCGGAGGGCGGCTTCTATGGCCTTCCCGACGAAGCATGGGAAGAGTCGGCCAAACAATTCATGGCGAGGATGAAGTATTAGGAAGATGTCAAACGATCAACCACTTGGATCGATATAAATCACGAACAGTGTCTGCCACAAATTGGCATGACAATGACGCTGGGTGCGACACCTCTGCGACCTGTCAGAGCTTGGCATAAGTTGTTGTGTACATGTGTTAAGCATCCCTCATGGACCTCGAACACGTGTGGCACCCAGACAGTTTCGGGACCCAATTCTCTAATAGCTTTCTAACCATTGATGTGAATCGACTTTCAAATGACAAAGTGTGGTGTGATGTAGACAAGGTACCACCTTGGGCTATTTTGAAGTCGAATATGCTACTCTGTGAGCCCCAATTCTTTGGGCCTGAACCCGAGGCTAAGGTTGAGCCCAACTTGCTACATTAAGATGTGGACCAAACCCACCACGTGTTACCTTCAACTCAACCCAACTCCCTAGTGAATCCAATCCATCATGTGACGGAATTTGATGTCCTGACAGGCTTATCTCCTAAGAAAGCTCGGGTATCCTACAATCCCAAACAAGGGAAGCTTATTTATCTTTCTAACACTGCAATCAGGGGAAATAAACAACATCTAAGGGGAAAGGTTGGCTCTGTGGGCTCTCGTGGGTCAATGGTCAGGTTAGTGGTCCCTTCATATAAAAATCTTTGCTAGGTTTGCATCAGCCCTTCTAAGGAACTTGAGGAAGTTAAGACATCCAGTTGGTTGGGAAGGAAGATAAACTATGATAGTCTCTATGGTAAATCGGTGGCGGCTGAGCCCACTCAACCCTGTTGACAGCAATGAGAGTATTGTTCTGGAACTGTTGGGGGCTTGGGAACCATCGGACAATTCTAGCCCTAACAGGGCTTATCCAACAATAAGCTTCCACCATTGCATTTTTGTGTGAGTCCAAATGCAATGGTCCTGCTATCATGGCTCTCAAAGTTAAACTTGGTTTCGATTTGGCTTTTTGTGTTAATTCTGTGAGATGTATAGGGTTCTGGTCTTAATGTGGAATCTAGCGACCCCATTACGGATCATTTCATCTTCCCCCAACCATATTGACACAGAAATCGATGGTTATGGTGACATTGATCACTGGCGCCTAATCAGTTTTTATGGTCACCCTTAAACTAGTCATCGCTCCAAATCCTGGTCGTTGCTCCATTATATGGCTGCCCAATCCTTGTTCCCCTGGATCTATGGTGGGATTTCAATGAACTTATGCACCTAGATGAAAATGAGGGTAGGGGGACCAAGCTCATCCACCAAATTCTGAATTTCCGACAAGCTATTGGCAACTACAACTTGGGCGACTTGGGTTCCTCTAGGGGAAAGTTTACCTGGATGACCAATTGCCATGGTGGCAATAAAGAGCATCTCGATCGAGTCCTCACGACGTTTAACTGGAAATCCAAATACCATTTCTCTATGGTGCACCACCTCTTACCCAGCAAATTTGATCATATATCACTGCTCTTGGAAGTCAGGCACCAACCCATGTCAACTTGGAAAAATCGTCCTCTCTTTCACTTCAAAGAGATGTGGACAAGCACAAGGGATGTGAAGATGTCATCTGCCAAGCTTGGAGTACCCTAGTGACGGGCATTCCTATGTTCCATATTGTGAGAAAATCAAGGTGGTTCGTGTGGCTCTCCTAAAATGGCATCATGAGACGTTTCGCTCGTGTATGGTCAAAGCTAGGCTTCTTTCTTGATCAGCTACTAGCCGAGAATCTCATCGTTAAGAGAGCTAATCTACTATCCCAGCTAGATGGTCTCCTCTCCCTCGATGAGTCTTACTGGCGGCAACGTTTCCAATGCACATGGTAGAAAGGTGAAAAATCAAATTTGCAGCTTGTTGGATGCTTCGAAGAACTGGACTAAAGGTGAAGGAAATATTGAAAACATTATGCTGGATTACTTTTCCAACATCTTCAAATGTCAACTTGGTGGGAATGAGGCGACGAAATTATTTGAGGTGTGGGTCAACAACTCGATGATGAGATGTTTTCGACTCTCAATACTGGTTTCACTGATGAGGAAGTCAAAGCTGCCTTGTTCCAAATGGATGCATTGACTACGCCAGGCCCAGATAGACTCCCACCATTATTCTACCAATAGTTTTGGAACGTTATCGGCTCTGATGTCTCGAAGGCAGTCATCTCATTCATGGAATCCGGGAAAATGCTTAAGAAAATCAACTACACTTACGTCTCTCTCATCCCGAAATAAGCAAATCCCAACGAGATGTCCCACCTTCGCCCTATTAGCATTTGCAATGTCGTCTACAAAATTGCCTCCAAGGTCTTAACCAATCATCTCAAGCTAATCCTCCGTTAGATTATTTCCCACCATCAAAGCGCTTTTGTTTCTCGACGCTTGATTTCAGACAACACCATCATTGCCACAAAGATTGCCCACTTCCTTTTCAAGCTTAAATGAGGCAAAAAAGGCTTCATGGCTATGAAACATGACAGTAGTAAGGCATACCATCGTGTGGATTGGGGGTTTCTGAGAGGTATTCTGGAAGCTATGGGCTTCCCTCTATACTGGACCAATCTGTTGATGCAATGTGTAAGCACTGTTTCACATTCCTTTATCAACAGGTCTCCTCGCGGTTACCTTCACCCTGCAAGGGGGCTCCAGCAAGGCGACCCCCTTCTCCCCTTACTTATTCCTCATGTGTGCAAAAGGCATCTCGGCTCTGCTCACCAAGTTTAACCGTGACGAGAGAATTTAGGGGATCTCCATTTGCCGTGGCACTCCGTCGATCAATCACCTCATGTTTTGTGAATGATTGCCTGCTCTTCACCAAAGCGGATGTTGACAATTGCCTCCATATTGCAAAAGTTCTAAAAACTTATGAAGAGGCCTCGGGTCAATTTGTTAACTTTATGAAAAATGCTATTTGTTTCAGCCGCAATATCAAGTGTGTCGATTAGGATGGGCTCAGTTGTCTACTAGGGGTGGATAGAATGGACAAACACAAGAAATATCTTGGGCTTCCTACTCTAGTTGGCCGAAATAAGCAGGTATGTTTCAGCCATATCAAGGAAAGGCTTTGGAAATGGTTGCAGGGTTGGAAGGGCAAGCTTCTGAGCTTAACGGGTCGCGAATTGCTTGTCAAAGTCATCACCCAAGCTATTCCTCTTTATACCATGCATTGCTTTATCCTCCCCAAAAGCTTTTGTGATGATCTTAACCGCATGGTTACAGCGTTTTGGTGGAATGGCGTCGACGATTCTAAAAAGATTCGCTAGATCTTCTGGGACAAACTTTGTGGCCCAAAATCAGAGGGTGGTTTAGGTTTTAAAAATATGTATGCGTTCAATCTCGGCTTAATCACCAAACAAGGGTGGAGACTCATCCACAAACCCCACTCTTTGGTGGCTCAAACCCAAGGCAAAGTATTATCCTACCAGCAACTTCATTTAAGTATTGTTCGATGCAATGCATCTTTTGTTTGGAAAAGTATCTGTGCTGGTAGGCTCATTATTGAAGGGGGTTCCCATTGGTTGATCGATTCGGTTGCACTACCAAAATTTGGGAGGACCGATGGTTACCTTCCCCTTCTCAGTTCCAAATGTTCTCACCTAAACCTACGGGCTGCTACCTCACTTTTGTGGACTAACTTATCTGTCATCAATCTCACCAATGGAACCTTCCCCACCTCAAGTGTCTATTTATATAAAAAAGAATTAGGTACTAATCATAAAGACTTTTTAGCATATCTAAAGTCAAGGATTTTGTCGAGACATCATCCCCACCAAATCTGCCCTTGACAAACACCATGTGCATACTGATCTAATGTGTGTGCTCTGCAACAACCATGTGGAATCCCCCTTCTATCTTTTGCGGGATTGAGCTCTTGCCTCTGCTTAGACTAAAACTCCACCGAGATTCCTCAAAGTAAATGTCGATGGTGCTTGGATGGAGTCACTCAAATCTAGTGGAGTTGGTGCTGTAGTCTGTGATGAGCACGGTAATTTTGATGCTGCATCTACAAAGATTTTTTGCATGTTTCCTCACCTCTCCTAATCGAAGCCTTTACGGTTAGAGAAGGGCTTTTGCAATTTTGCTGGCGATTCAAATGGGCTTACATAACATTATTATTGAGAGCAATTCTCTCCAGATCGTCTCTGCCATGCAAAAGAGTCCTCCGAATTCGTCCCTCATCGGGCACATTATCGAGGATTCCTATGTTATGCTATTTGTGATTACTGGAGCTTCTATTACTCATACACACCGCCAACATAATGAAGCTGCTCACCGTCTTGCCCGTTTTGCCTTAACGGTCCATGTGAATATTCACATGGACCAGTTAAGGAGCATTTGAATGTCTTTGGTTCGAGGAGCATCCCGAGATTCTCATGGATGTTTTACTCTATGATTGTATTGCCTAGATTTTCTGGTTTTACCAGCCCACTCTTCATCTTTTATCAATGAATTAATGTCGTAGCTTTCAAAAAAAAAAAAGTGAATGCCCGATGGATATAACATTCTCAAAAGATAACATGTATGACTCAAAAATATGGCTGACAAATTAAGAAACTCGGCCAGTAAAGTTTTTCTAGTGAAAAATGTCATCAAACTCAAAAATTTGATCTTTAATTGAATACACTTTTAATTCGTCACTAATCATTCCCATCACGAAATCTTAGCTAGTTTGCAAGTGCTTTGTGGACAAGTATGCGTGTGTATCCATTGTCAAGTTCATGGTTCTTTGACATCTTTCCTTGTGTACCTTATTGATTTGTGCAAAACGCAAGGCCTGTAATGAATAAAGCCATATGTGTGTATTGCATGGTTGGCATTGTCCAACTTTCGTTGGTTTAGAGCATTTTCAATAGAGATGCAAATTCAAGATGCGAAGAAAAAATTGGTAGGTTTGAGAAACAATAACTTTGAATAATTGAATGATGAGTTTGGCTAACGACGGTTCTAATAGGGGACCTTTCAAATCTTGATTACGATAATATGAAATGTTACTGGCATTGCAAAAGGTTTCAATAACCTTCACGTGTGCACACATTTGAATTTTAGAGTGCCAAGAACATCCCTCTTATGAAGGCAAGCATGAGTTTGGAGTTCCAATAACATTTCCAATATGAAATCAAGCGACGCTGAGTAAAATTAACTGAATGTTCAATTCTGCCAAATAAGTTGAAGCACATAGATATCAGTCTAAACGCAAAAACAGTACACCAAAAGGGAACCTCAACATGACTAATGCTCTTTATTTGAACACCTATCAGCTAAATGAGCATCATACATTGCATTTTAAATCACCAGGTCATTCCTAGAAAGATAATTCTTTCCATCCACCATAGTTCTCCTCATCATATCTTCTAGAAGCTGCTTCTCTGCAAAAAACAAATTGTCGATTCACCACACACTACCTCGAATCTAGTCAAAAACGGAAGTTCTGGTTAAGTTTGGTAAGCTATAAACATTGATACCTGAGGCTCAGGAGTGAAAGTAATTCCAATTATGATCTCCCCGCGATATTCCTGGTCCTTGTTGACAACATTGTAGGCAGTCGGAGGAAGCCTTCCATCAGCGAACAATGGCTCCAAAGGAACGCTACATTGGCCATAGATAAATTAGACATCGAACCATACACGTTTTACATAGCTTCACCAGAGATAGAACACTATAACAGGGTGCAAATAACTTTTGAGTGACCTTATAAAGATGGAAATGAAAAAAAATGACAAATTTTTTAGTACTCACATTGCTTCGCCAACAAAGTCATCCTTGGTAAAGGTATCTTTGTCCATTATTTTCAAACGAAGCTCAGAAACATCATCCGTAACTGTGAACAAAAAACTTTCATTCCATTCGGGGTCACATCCTTTCCCTGCATGTATGATTTTTAATCACAGTTAATCGAAGACAACACCAGATGGATCCGATCGGAATGTGCACAAACAATATATATAGCATATATATATATACAAGGGGTAGCTACAACTGTATACCTTTAGCCACGGTGCTTTTCTTCTCTTGGGTCTTCACAGTGAAAATAACATAGGGATCCATCTTATTAACTGTTACAAAGTATTCAACCCATGACATACATACATTAATTAGCACTATTCAGAAATCAAATGCAAACAAATTTAACTGAGCGGCGTGTTCAAATCAGAAATCAAAATAACATATCATATATATAGACGAAAAATTGCTTAAAAACCCTTTAAGAAAATGATTTATGCGCAACATTTTTCTCCTTTTGTTCACCCCTTTTCCTCGTTTTGGCCATCGGATTGAATTAATCAAACAAAAACAATGGTAATATTGAAAAAGGTGTGTGCTTGTCATTTGGGTATCTTTATTCTCTTTTGTTTTGGGAAATGTATGTTCATCTTTTGCCGATTACAGGAAAATGAAATGCATCTACCAACATATAAGAAAAATACAAACAAATGGATTAGACATAAAGATCATGCTAGTGAGGAGAAAACGAACACCAGAAATAAAATCATATCTTTTCTGCATCACTTGATATTACCAAGAATCAGTGAAAAGGGTTTTTAAAAAATTGATGATTTTTTGTTTGGGTATTCAATCGAATATTAAACTAATTTTGCAAACATGCATACACAAATGCATACATGAACAACAACAAAAGAGCTCATAAAGCCTTGAAATTAACAGCATCCAGCTGATAGAAGAACCAAACAATTCAGATCTGCAGATGGTGAGAAACATAAATTAAAAACCAAACCATGTTCACCAAAAATCATTTCAGTTGATTAAATCAAAGATTCAAACATGAGAGAGGGAAAGAGTTACAGAGAAAATCTTTGTTCTTGAGGCCTTTAGCTTCAACAAGAAGGACTTCAAGGGTTCCGAGAGGCATCTTTCTTTGGTTGGTTTCTTTGGAGTTTGGAATTTGTTGGATGGAAAGAGAGTGAAGCAGTGAGGGTGTTAAAGTAGTGAAGGAATGGTGCAGTTTTCAAGTTTCATGTGACAATTGTACTTGCATTTCTGACTCCTCCAATGCATGACGAAACCTTGGCTGGATTTCCATTTATTTATTTATTGACGTTTCTTACCAACTTCCCAAGACCACCGTTTGACTAGAGGTTGACTGCCACTCTTCATTTCTCATTCCAAATTCTCAATCTTTATCTATAGTATCTATTAATAAAACACTATTTATCAATAAAAATTTTTTTAAAAAAACTATTATTATATTCTTCCATGATAATTGAGAAAAAAATATTAGAAGAGTTGCTATTTTCATCCCCACCATGACCAGCCCTCTTTAATTTTAAACTCGGTATGGTAAGTTTTTTTTTTTTTTTCTTTTGGGCCCCATGAAAAACTGCTCCATATAACGGGAATTGATTTTCACATTTTCTTTCTTACCTAATATTTGGGCCTAGATTCTATAAACCCCACTTCTCTCTTGTTGGTCTGCAACCTAGCTGATTAAAATAATAATTTATTTTTTAACCTAAAGCTCCATACTCTTTAAGGTCGTTTTCTAAACTTTCACACAAAAGGTTCCGAAGCTACCCATTTTTATTATTTGTTTTCAATTTCTTTATATATATTGTCTTGTATATATTGCGTTTGTTTGTAGGTACAGTTCATAATTTCGAACTCGAAGTTCGGAAAAATGTTATAGAAACTTGAAGTTTCTTAACACGCACTAGTCATGTTGAGATTCGAAGTTCTCCATGATTAATCCGTTTAAACCAAAACATGTTGTAGAACATAAATGTTCTAATTTGGATGCTTATGATGATTTTATTTTCCATAGCACCAATCACAATCTTGTTCCCTACATTCAGCGAAATGTCGAACCGCAACAAGTTTGATTTCACTGATTTGGATGTTTCAAACAAAAACTATTTTATGTGGATATAAGATTTGATGCTCCACTTGACTACGAAAAGCTGCGAAACCATTGAAGCCAACTATGGCATAAAAGAGTTGAATAAGCCTCCGCCATGCTCTATATTCAAAGATTTATGCCTGAAGCATTATAAATGGAAGTACCTCATTGAGGAGGATTCCATGGCTCTTTGACTCGCTCATATAGACCGTTCCTATCCTGAAAAGATGATCTCTTACCCGAAGCAAGACATGATTGAAACCTTTATGTTCATGAATAGGTAATTTTGAAGTTTATATCCGATCGAATTTTGACTAGAGAAAAAATTTCTCGTCTTTCTATGTCTCTAACTTGCTCCTGCAACAGCAGTGCAGAGAGCAAAAGTTTGGAAAATTATCGGATTTGATTACTACCACACTTGTGAGAAAATGGTACCCCAGATTCGACTAGGAGATACCGAACAGTATAGACTCAACTTCGATTAAAGACTACTGAATGATGGTACCCTACTTTGGGAGGGATACACCGACATGCATGCTCTGCTTTAGCATAGTTGCACCGAAAGGTATGCTTTGCTTCGGCAAAGGTCGAACAGACTCCTCTAGTTTTGGCTGGAACCTCACGAAACCACGTCTGGGTCTGTCTTTCTCTCACACTCACGATCAAGTTTGTTTTTAATATATGGTAGAATCAAGGCCTGCCAAAGGGTGACATCACACCCAAAACGTGATTCCTTGGTACCTATGACCTAAAACTTCAAGAATAAGGGACAATATTCAGAACCTTAACCCTACAGTATCTACTTCCGTTTTGACAGAAAAAATCATTGGTTATGCACCTTTTCGTAATTAATCATGAGACTAAGTTTGCTCTACCTAACACATTTGGAAAAGCGAAATTTTGGCATGGAAGGCCACGTTGGCCTAACCCCCTAGTACATTTGGTTTACTTTGTGAACAATTTCTTATGTCCCCAGATTTAAGTTTGGTGTTTGGATATCATTACTATTCTCGAATTCGAGTTAGTTGACAAAAGTTAATACATGCGACTAATCCAATTAAATCATGCTTAGGTATATTTTGTGGGGCAGTTAGCGGTCTAGTTCTATGTGCTAACTTCATACCTAATCACCTTCCCGACAACCCTTTTCAGGCTTATCCAACCTGATTATGAGGCATGGCACTGGCCATATTATGTTGTCCAATGATTTAACTTTAACGGAATCTGCTTTTGAGCTTTAAGGATATTCGAGTTACTATTGGAACCACTATAGAAAATAGAGTAAAATTCTTTTTGAATAAATCCTAAGTAGAGATAAATTAGGAATCCTTTGAGATCTAGAAAATATTTCCTATTATACTTTGTTTTACTTGGAGAGAAAATTTCTCTCCTCCTTATTACTATAAATAAAGGCACAAGATCTGAAGACTAACACACAACATTCCTCAATCCTATTCTCCATCTCTTTTTCTCTATTGCCGCACCTCTCTTTCCCTTAGTTAATTTAGGGGTGTGATATTCACACACCCCTTTTTACTTCTCTCACACCCGGATCGGATGAATTAAAGAATATCAAATGACAGAAATTAATAAGGGATGTGAGAGAAATAAAAAGGGATGTGGATAACACACCTCTTAATTTATAGGCCACAACGTACATGACATAAATTGGAGCATTTTTTTTTTCTTTTAAAAAAATTATGCAAAGAAAAGTTTGAATTAAAACGTTTTTTTATTTATATTAATTTTTTTTAGCCATGTGACACTTATGACACACATCTAAATCTTAGGGTGTTATACTGAATTTAAAATTTTAAGAAATTAAGTAAAACTCGGGCTAAACTAAAGGAGGTGAGGTGTGAAATAATGGACTAAACCTTATAATAGACTAATAATAATATGATTTAAAATCATTTTTGTCGATCCAACTTATCAATGAAGATAAATACTACTTGCAAAAAAAAAGTAACGGTTGGTAACATGCAGTTGGTTGAATAGTTTCCAAATGGACAGGAGCAAGGGGAGCGTAGCTATATAGAAAGAAAACAAAGATGGCGAAACCCTCCATTGCAATGAGCTTCGCTTCCGAAGCAAAAATTGCAGACGACATTCCTGGGGAAGATGTAATCAGAGTTCTGAAATTTCTCCGAGGAGTTGGAATCTCGGACCCTGTCCCAGATGAGTTCGATGCTAAAAAGGATACCTACTCCGACATCATTCGTGACCTCCTCAAGCCCCTTCACATCTCCCCAGGCCGTGTCACCTGCCTCGTATCTGTGAAGCCTGCTGTCACTGTAATCTATATTCCCCTCTTTATTTTTCTCTTTTTGTTTCAATTTGCAATTTTCAGTGGTTCTGTTTGGTTGCTGAGAAAATTCTAGGTATGGGTTATTTATACCCAAAAGTGGGGAAATTGGAGGAATAGGATTGGACCCTTTCGGGATGTGTTTGATTTGAATTGGGTTTTCATCGTGTTTTTCTATCTGGGTTTGACTAAATTGAGCTGTGTTCTTGCTTGCTTGCTGAGAAAATTGCTTGATTTAATGGTTACTTGTATAACCAGTTCAAAATTAATATTGATAGAGGCCCATTCTATTAGCTTGTATGATTGGGACTTTGATCTTATACAAAGCAAAGTAAGATGCTTTGTTAGACCCCATTTCAAAGCTATTAACATCGTCATCAAATTCCGCCATTTTGCTCACTAATGTGTAGTTGTATTTCAATTTGATGTCTGCTTCAATTGTTCTTGTATTTGGGTGTTTCAGTTGTTCTTGTATTTGGGAGAAAAGAAGATGCCACTGAACGTCGGGTTAATTTTCATATGTTTTCGTCGTCTTTGAAACCTAAGTTACCTAACAAATGTAAAGATGTTTTGTTCATGAATCTGCAGAATTTCTATTCCGGATTTCATGGAGGAGCTATTGCTGCTGTTGCTGAGGCTGTGTCCATGGCTTGTGCAAGAACTCTCGTGGCTAAGGATAAGGAGCTTTTTCTGGGGGAACTAAGCATTTCTTACCTCTCTAGTGCAACAAAGAATGTAAGGCCCTTAGAATGTACATTTGTTCCTTTAAATGTAGATATATAAAGTTTGATGCGCATGCCAAAATAGAATTGAAATGAATTCAAAGCTTTACTATGATTTTTTAGCTGTCTTCATTGGAAATCGAAAGGTCGTCTGAGGCATTTCAAATGGTAATGGTATTGGTGTAGAATGACTAGAGGAAGAAATTAGGGATTAGGATTTTGTTGGCACTTTAAATTTGTAAATTGTGATGAGGGATTTGTACCTTCTGTGTGCAATTCCTTGAATGTCAAAGGTCTGCCTTTCGTGCGTCTTGGTGCAGAGAACTTATATTTCCGGCTTTCTTGAGTCATTTAATCAGGTATTCAATTTGTCATTGGACATCGGTTAAGGTGCAATCAGCTAACCGAGACATGATAAGAGAAATATCTACGTTATCCAGTATTGGCAATTCAGTAAACTGAAGTTTACACTCGTGAATCTTGTTTATAATTTGCGTTGTTCATGCTGTTGGTTTCTCTCCGTTTTGATTTTTACTTACCAATGGGACTTTTACAGGAAGAGGTGATAGTTGACGCATCTGTTGTGCGGAGTGGAAGAAACCTCTGCGTGATAGCTCTTGAATGGAAACTCAAGAAAACTGGGCGTTTGGTTTACACTGCTCGTGCTACCTTCTACCACACGCCTGTTGCAAAATTATGATTTCTATAGCACATCTTGTCAATTTGCTGCCATCTGCATGGTTATTCCGATATAGATCGCTATTCAGTAACCATAAGATGAATTATATCTACGTGTATGCATACAATTACGTGCAACGGGGACATGAAAGTTCTTTTCATATCTGTAGTGTCTTTGATTTCATACCCAGCAACCATATTTTGATTGTTGAGCAATTGCTACTGTTCTATAATTTGAAGGAAAGGAGACCCAAAGAAGTGTGTTTTGAGAGGAAAGCAAAACATAGGGTTGGGTTCGGTTTCAATCGATTTGGTTCGATTTTTCAAATTCGGTTTGATTTTTTTGGGATTCGGTCCTATTTATCTTGACATACTCTGCAAAGAAACAAGACAGCTGTTGCAAAATTATATTTATTGATGGGTTTGGTCTTTCGACGCGACATGAACACAAAGATGGCAAAACCTTCCGGTGCTTTCTCTTCCACAGCAATAATTTCTGAGGACTTTCCTCCGCAACACTTGAACCAAGTTGTGTGTTTTCTTCATAGAGTCGGGATTTCTGACCCTATCCCGGATCGTTGCAATACAAAAGACTACCACTCCGCCTTGATTCACGGCATCCTCAAGCCTTTGCACATCCGAAAAGGCCGCGTCACCTGCCTTGTCTCCGTAAAACCTGCTGTTGCTGTAATATTTCGCTGCTTATTCTCTCCCTTCTTCGTTTCAACTTTTGCTTTTCATTTTGTCATGAATGTGCAGAATATCCGCGGAGGATTTCACGGGGGAGCTATTGCTGCTGTAGCTGAGACAGTGTCGATAGCTTGTGCAAGAACGGTAGTGGCTGAGGATAAGGAGATTTTCCTAGGGGAACTGAGCATCTCCTACCTCTCTGCTGCACCAAAGAATGTGAGTTAGTCCACCATAATCCCCGGTCGTTTCTTTCTTTCGGATTGACCAGTATTTAATCTGAAAAGAACATCGACATTACGCTACAGGCGGAGCTGATAGGTGAAGGATCTGTTGTGAAGAGTGGAAGAAATCTGAGCGTGATAGCAGTTGATTTCAAACTCAAGGAAACTCAACAGTTGGCTTACACTGCTCGTGCTACCTTCTATCACACGCCGATTGCAAAATTATGAATTCAGAGATTAAAATTGTCTAACACATGATCATCTTATCAATGTTTATGGCTTAGGATTATAGAGTTACTCTGAAATAAGATCCACGACGTCTTTAAATTCGATTATGACTACAAAGTGATATCACAGAGTTGCACCAAAATAATATACACTGACAAAACATCGGAAGAGAATACATTCGAGTGGATGAGAAGATACAACCGCCCGGCAGCCTAAGGCTTCACAACTTTGCATCAACTCTAAGCCTTACCTTTCATCCTACATCACCAATATAGCGGAAAGTAGCAGCACTTCATGTGCAGTACTGATCATCTCAGAACCAAACGTGTGAGTTTCAACTTGGAAGTCTCATCCTAACCCCGTTTTTCCCCATTCGGATTAAACGGCTGCTGTTATTGGCTCAGTACAGGGATAAACACCGACCTCCAGCACGCATATATATGGGGATTCAGGAGTTCTATACAGTGAGAGAAAAACATCTGATAAAAATCACTAACATCTACTTGCATTGAAAAATAATAATATCTGAGATCAGAAGAGTAGTCACAGTCACTTGACATATGAGACTGGCACACTCACCTACATTCGGACTATGAAAATATGGCATTGACAAAGGCCTCTGCATCAAACGGTTGGAGGTCTTCTACGCCTTCACCAACACCCACAAACTTTACAGGGATGCCGAGCTCATTCACCACGCTGACCTAAAATAGACGCAATCTTATGATTAGTGAAGGCTAAAAAAACTTGAGAATTAAGTCTTGAAACAACAGAAGCTACATCAATATCTCAATTCAATAATAGATCGAAAACTATACGGGACAGAAGATTTGAACATACCACACAGCCTCCTCTAGCAGAACCGTCAAGTTTTGTCAAAATCAAACCAGTTATACCAACAATCTGTCAAATATTTACAAGGCAAACAATCGAAACATGAATGAAGTGGCACAAAGAATTAGAGTACAAATTAAGGGCAAGATATTCAATCAAATATCCAAGTTCTACTCTAACTGACAAAATTGGAATATAACATGCTGCACCTAAACACGAACACGAAAGGAACAAACTTAAACATTCTTGAGAGGTGAGACAAACAAGATCATGCGAGGAATAGTCAACCATCTTAATCCAGAAGGTAAAGGATAAGAACATTACTTCGTTGAATTCTCTTGCTTGTGGAAGCATGTTTAAACCCGTGGTCCCATCCAGAACTAGTAGGATCTCCTGCATGTATTAAAAGAAATATTGATAGGCACATTTAGAAACATGGTACACTAGACAGATTGTATGAATTTGGAGAAGTTACTAGATATCTCAACAAATAAAATGGGTACATACAAATCAAATAATACACCAGACAAAACTGATGAGTATGGTAATGGAAGGCATGAATAGATTGATTCACATATCAAACAATTGAAGGGCCCAGGTGCCAGGTACAGCATAAAGAGGTTATTTGAAATATGGCATAAAAAAGGAAAGACATACAGGTGAATACAGCAATGAAACCTGTAGCCTGTGTCATGAGTTGCAACTTATTACTCTCTGTGAAAGCTATGATTATCATAGAGATACAATTAAACATCTGCAACGAACACTAGCTGGAAGGCTTGAGAGCATGAGATAGTTGAAAGGTGTTCCTTGGTTTAATCCAATAGAAGGTTTCTGGAAAAAATATATCTAAAATTTCCCTCAGCTATCACTTTACTAAACTTGATTTTTCCATTCGCCTCAGGGCGCGCCTAGCCGGCCTCTGAGGCTGGGCGTGAGGGTTGCTGCCTCTGTTTTGAGGGAGTGGGCGGAAGGCGTCACCGGAGCCGCCGAGGCGGCAGAGGCGGGCCTCAGGGTGTCCAGGCGACTCTGTTTGGCTGCTTTCTTTTTTTTTTTTTTTTTTTTTTTTTTATTACTCCCATACCTCTTCCTTGCACTATCATCTCTCTGCCTTTTTTTTCTGATTTTTATTTTTTTATATAATGGATGTGTGTAAGAGGTCGTACTTGGTGCGATGGCAAGTGCCTTCGCCCATGAGCGGTAGGTCTCAGGTTCGAGACTTGGGAGCAGCCTCTCCATAAAATGAGGGTAAGGCTAGCCGACATTCACCTCTCCCAGACCCTGCGTAAAGCGGGAGCCTTGTGCACTGGGTACGACCTTTACGACCAATGGATGTGTGTGCTGTGTGCATTGTTATGTGTGCTCATTGTGCTTTTCATCCTCTATTTAATATATATATATATATATATATAACATAATATATGTATGTATATGTGTGTGCTTAGGGTGATTATTGATTAATAATCTTTTTTTGTTTATATAATATGTGCACGCTCAGTGTTTATATTAAAAAAATTTAGGTCCTGTGAGGCTTCGCCTCACACCTAGGCCGGGCTATCCCTCGAACGCCTCGCCCACACCTCACTCTTTTAATACACTGGAAATATCACATGCCTAGATTTTCGAATTTGATAATAAAAATATGATAAAAGTGTCCAACAGCCGAGCTTACATTAGGAGCACCAGGCATGACTTTTGTCACAGCTTTCTTACATGCAATCAACTCTTCCATCAAGCTGTAATTAGTGTGCAGACCTGAAATTATATACATTAGGGGCAGAGAATCAGCTAAGCTCACAAAATTACGTAAACAGTTCAAGAGGAGTATGAAAGGTTCTCCAACAAACTTACGTCCTGAGGTGTCACATAAGACAACATCATAACCTTGTTCTTTCCCTGTCTTCACAGCCTGAGAAATAACTATTCAGAAAGCACTTAAAGACTGTATGTCAGTAGTTATACCACGTTAAATGAATTCCACAGACAAAAATTCTAGAAAGGAAAAGAAAATATAAGCTCATCTCTCTGTCTAATCAAAGTTGTCTACCTACCTGATGCTGCTTTGGCCTTCTCTTTTTCAGCCACAACAATCTCACACCCAGTCCTCTCGGCCCATATCTCCAGTTGGTCACCGGCAGCTGCTCGAAAGGTATCCCCTGCTGCCATTAATACCTGGCCAATTAAAAAACGCAAAGGGATTTAGACCACAACATGTTTTACTCGCAAAACAAAGCCCATTCACTGCAACCAGGACAATCAACAGATGAAAACTTCTCACCTTTGCCCCTCCATTCTTCAATCTATAAGCCAGCTTTCCTGCACGAGGATAGATGATCAGATCATTATCAATCTTAAAGGGCCCTTAACCACTTAAACCACAATACAATAAGAAAACAGACTGCAAGCAGGATTTATGTAGTGGATATGTCACTACTGTGTTCGTATTAAAGCTTTCTCGACTGAAGGTCGGCTCTCATGTCCAGTAAATTTTCCCCAAAAATACATGCCATTAGATTAAACCGGTTGGATACATGATACACACTAAGTTCTATTCTTACCAAGAGATGTTGTCTTCCCACCTCCATTAACGCCAACAATCATAACCACAGCCGGCTTCCTGCATTACAAAACATGCACTCCAAAATTGAAGACAACGTCTAAAAAACCAACAGAATCTCTAAAACTCGAAAAAGCTCGTGACCTGTATCCGAGTTGAAGTTCAGTTTTCCCTTTAATAGTTAACAAGTCCAGCACACTTTTCTTCAACGCATCCTACAAACATCCCGATTGCGATACCACATTATTACATTTCACGTGCATACCAATTAACTTAAAAACATTCCAATCGATTCCTCAGACAAATTTATATACCTAAATCTTATATAATGGGGCAAATTCAATTACTCTTCGGAGAAATAAAAGCAAGACAAATCATACAAATAACATTCGAATGCTAAAAGGCAATGTTAAAGTTCTTGTCAAATGTTAGGATTTACCTTAATTTCGCTCCCAGATTTAAGCTTCCCAGCAGCTATATCCTCCCTCAGGCTCTCCACAATCTTAATTGTAATTTTCGGCCCGAAATCGGATACCAGCAGTGCCTGAAACCGAAAACAACAGACTTAATTACATTTTCCCGGAAAATTGATGGTAATATATTTTCTCAAGAAACAAACAGGGATAGATAGAAAACCTCTTCGAGTTCGTCGAGGACTCGATCAGTGTCGGCGAGGTTCCAGTAGAGCAAGAGCTCGTCGACGACGGCGAGATTATCGCGAGTCTTTGAGAATCCCGAGAAGAGCTTATCCACGTCGCTCTTGGCCTTCTCCTTGATAAGCCTTCCGAGCCGGGTGAAGAACCCGGTCTCCCCAGCCCGGCATTTGAACCGGGAATGGTCGGGTCGGGAAGGGGCTAGCAGGAGGCAGTGGTGCTGAGGCGGTGAAGTTTTGGAGAGGAGTAAGAGACGATGAGGGAGAGAGGAAGGCAAGGGCGACGCCATCGCTGTTGAGCTCTCAGAGCTGAGAGTCTTTCGGATATCGGATAATGTGGCGCCTTTGGAAACGTCGTCGTAATAGGCGGGAAGGAACTAATTTTAATATATCAAATCATATAAATGTCACAGAAATATATATATACTTTTTTTTATTAAAAAAATTAGGAAAAATGGTGGCAAGCCACAATTATACACTCCTTTTGGATCCAGAGAGACTATAGGGAATTTCACAAAAATATTTGGATTGTAGACATATTTTGCAGGTGTTTGGCTGAACTATTCGATGTTGTTTAATTGAACCCATAAAACCTCATTCTGCATCCAATTTACAATTTACACCCATATTATTTTTATTTAAACAATCAATATCGTTTAAACCTAAATTTACTACCTAAACTACTCTCACAAAAGCATAATTCAATTTATATATATATATATATATCTTTAAACCCAATTCATAGCAGTTGGCAATCCATCATGCAGGTTAAGGTGCTTGGATGGGAAGGTGAGAGGAAAACAGAGAGACAAGGATGAGCAGTCGGACGAGCGGGAAGAAAGGGGCGGGGGTGGGGGTGGAGGCGGAAGCTGCCATACAGTCGATAGGGTTGGGGGTACGATTTTGACATGGACTTGAAGCTCAAATACTGTTAGAGGCAGCAACGTCAGGACTGACAGTCGGTATATAATGCAGTGATCATCGTCACTCACATTCGAACGTGGAACCATATGGAATCATGCTTCCACTAATCCACGAGGCTATGAAGAAGGCCAGTAA